AAAGAAGCAGAGGTATAGAGAAGTTAAGGAACTTGTCTGTGGTCACACAGCTAGAAAGTGACAAACTTCTCCAGACAGTTTGGTTCAAAAATTTATGTTATTTGCCATTGCACTGCAGCCACACCTAGCAGGATCATATAGCCCAGAAATGGTCTTCTGTTTACACCTCTGGTTAACCATACATCAAGTTATTTATCCAGAAGAAATGAAAGCATATGTCCACAAAATGTCTGGTATAAAAATGTGTGTTGCTACTTTATTTATAAACATAAAAATAGAAAAAAGCTCAATATCAAGTAAGAAATAAGTAATCAAATCTAGCATATTCATACAATGGACTGTTACTCAGCAAAAAAAAAAAAAAAGGAATGGAATGATATACAATGAAATATCTGAAAAAATGTTATGCTGAGTGAAAGAAGCCAGACACAATGATTCCATGTATATGAAGCTGAAGAAGAGGCAAATCCATATGGATAAATGTTAGAACAATGATCACTTCTGAGCAAGGGGAAGGGACTTGAGTCTGGGTGATGGTAATGCTCTGTATTTTGATTGGTCAAAAATCATTGCCTTGTGTATTAAACACTGATGCATTTTCTTGTGTGTATTTGTACCTCACTTATACACACAAACACATACAGTAAAACTTAAAGTTCCCTTCTTCTCTAATCCCATTCCCTTTCCCGGTGTCAACTGTTGTTTATAGACTGGTGTGGCATTTCCAGAAATTTTTATTTCCATGCATATGAGTATATACACATAAAAATAAACTTTTATATTTTAATGTGAATAAGATCAGATGATGTATATTGTTCTGCTACCTGCTTTTTTTTCCAGTTAATAACATGTCTTGAAGGTTTTTCATTTGTTCTTAATTTTCAAAGCTAGCCTGACACCATATTATGAACACAATTTTTTTTCAGTCAATTTCCTTCTGATGGAAAGTTAGGTATTTTTCAAATTTTCACTTTTAACAGTTCTAATGAAAATGTATTTATATAAATATTTGTGAATGTGTGCAAGCATTTTTGTAGGCTTCTTTCCTAGAAGAAGGATTTGTTGGGAAAAAGGTATGCGTACTTTAGTGGATACTGCCAAATTGGTTTCCAAAAATGCTTTTGTGAATTCTACTCCTCCTTCCCATGTATGAGAAGTGAATTCTTGAATCCTCTCCAACAATGAACATTATCAATATTTTAAAGTTTTTGAGTACAGATGGGTAATAGCATCTTATTTCTACTGAGATATAAAAATAAATTTTTATTTTCTACTTTATGTAAAAATATACACAAATCCTTGGAGGACTGTCCAGTACTCCTAGCAGTGTAATTCTGGAAGTGTCACCAGCAAGTTAGAGACCATTTTCTAATTTTAATTTGACAGATTACTCTAGTGAAAATAGCTAAAGTCTGTTCTCTCTGGCATTCTTCTGAACCATTGTTGACTTTATGTTGGAATTTTTTAAAATTTTGTTCAAATTCCTTAATGGTGGCTAAATTTTGAAAAGTGACATAACCTGTTTTATGAAACTGCTTCATAAAGCTAGTCAATTTAAGTCAAACATTGAACACTGACTTTACCATCATATTTTTCAACTATCCCCTCCATAATCATTGCTTTTATTATTATTTTAATTTGCATTTTGGATATGCTTTTAATGGTGTTTCCTTGGAGAAAAACTCCTTCCAAAGAATGCCTCCCCCTCCCAAAAAAGGAAGCAGATCAGTTTTGAGTGGAAGCTTGGAACTGCCCAACTTGCTAACTGAGTGGAAGTTTGGAAAGAGATACAAATGATAGTTTCCTCTAGGGCAATACAGCAAGAGAGTGCTGTGGTCTACACTGCTAGAGCCCTACTGGATTTTGGAGATAGCTAGGGACTGTATTAAGTTTGGCATGTTGATTTTATTCAGTGTGGGCTTACTTCTGCAGGTGGGGAGAGATATAGAGCCTAATAGGTCACTTGCAAATTTCATTATTGGAAATTCTGAGGTTGTTACTAGAAAGTCCCTGTGGTCATTTTTTTTCATTGAGTATCACTGGGCTTTTGGGGAAAGGCAAAGAGATCTAATATTTTAAAATTTCCTGAGTCCTCACCTGCCTCCCCGCTAAATTGCCATTTCAACCTCTGCTTCAGACAACATTAGGGTTTCCCTGAGGGATAACCAAGAGAAGGGCTATTTAGTAGCTAAGGCTCTCCTCAATATTTGCTCAATATTCCCGACCCTAGCCATTCCATCCCTTGCCTCTTGTCTACCTCTGCAAATCAATTCATTCCCTTTTTGGTTTTCAAGGATGCTTTTTTTTTTATTAGTTACACATGACAGTACAATGATCTTGACAGTTCATACATTTGAATCAAATGGGGTATAATTTCTCATTTTTCTAATTGTAAAAGTTGCAGAATCACATTGGTCATACAGTCACCTATGTACATACAGCAATAATAAAAAGGGTTTGATGCTAGGGATATTTAAAAGTCTCAGAAATATTTTGGAAGCACAAAGGAGTGTGTGTACTTGATAGGTAGCTATTGGTAGTCACGTGTACAAAATGATGATTCTGATCACCTTGTTCTGTATTGATCCTAATTGGCCACATCCTAAGCAGTGCTACTCAAAACACAACTTTTTTTTATGAATTCCTGGTGTCTCAAGAAACAGTTGGGAGGGCTGGGGTTGTAGCTCAGCGGTAGAGCACTTGCCTTGCATGTGTGAGGCACTAGGTTCAATCCTCAGCACCACATAAAAATAAATAAATAAAATAAAGGTATCGTGTCCATCTACAACTAACAAAACAAAACAAAACAACAAAAACAAAAACAAAGAAATAAAGAAAGAAAGAAATAGTTGGGAAATGCTGAAAAAGGCCTCCCTCATAGTGTCAGAACTGACAATTTTTTTTAGCCTCTCATTCTTAATTCAGGAAAGCTTTAAGGAACACATGGACTTGGAGTTTGTTTTCATTTGGGATTGGAAAAACATTGGAGTATCCTTGAGAATAAGGTTGAGTGTTCACACTGCTTTGAGAACTTCCTGGGATTCTTTATGCAAATGATATTTCTAATGATGATCCATTTTATTTTGTCACTGGCACTTGGTGAAGGGAGAGATATTTAGCAGTTGGTTCTATTTGATGGTATGATCTAAACAAATAAAATGTATTTCTTTATAAAATTTTCTCTAATTAAGCAATCTCACTAACCATATGATCTCTTTATCATATCCTATTTCTGGGATGTGGCCATATTTTCCTAAGTAAGTGGAAAATGTGCTTGCCCTGTTCAAGGCAAGCTTTAAAAATACTATCCTCATTCAATTAGGAAGCAAGAGGTCATTCCTAACATCTTTAGAGTAATCAAAAAATAATTTTCTGAAAGCAGACCTGTGTATTGAGTTGGTGATTTCATCCATGTGCACCACTCTGTTGAGCAACAGTAGAGAAGATAAAAAAAATTATGCAGTACAAATAGGGACCAAGGAGAGGGATATTTGATTTTGCCCATATTCTCCTAAGTCCACTGAAAACACTTATATCACTGCTTCAGTTGATACTGGAAATATTTCTTAATGAGCCCAAGTGTTCAGACTTTACTTGTTAGCAGGAGTCCTGATAGAGGATTGTTCCAGTTGGTAAACAGTTATCTTGAACTTCATTTTCTTGGGGTGGGAGGGAGTGGGGACTGCATAATTTTATAAGGACTGGAAATAAAGAGTTTCTTATGGAAAATGCTTTTTCTTTTCTTTTTAATTGTTTCAGTTTGACACATTTGCTGTTTATCATCTAGTTCTCATCTTGTTTGTATTTCCAAAAGAGCAGTGGTCTCCATACACTTGTCTCTGGAGTCAGGGCTCAGTCACAGTGACTGATGTAACAGTGCTGGGGAAATGAGGGTGAAGGGATTAATAAGGACCTCAAATGACTGGGCTCAAATGACTTTGGCCCTCCTCTTTTGGAATCACTGCTCCCAAGCCCTCTCTGCTGCCCTCCTGCCTCCTCATGTGTTGGATTAGATTTATAACAGCTGCCGTGGACATGGTTGCCTAAATCTGTGGAATGTTTTGCTAAATGCTGTTGGTGAAATAGTCCACATTAAGCCTGTAACTCCTGTTTTCTTATTTTTAACCAGTCCTTTATTAGTCTTTAACTCACTTGATCACTTTATGATTTTACACTTGACATCCTATAGATTCATTAAGATATTTTAGTACAAGCACCAGGGCTCTATTTAACATTATGATTAGCCAAGCTGTTATTCTGTTTGAGCTAAGTGTTGACAGTGTATTTGATTGGAGCCCTGTAATTGTTATTTTAAAATCAGAGTAATGGATTATGATCTCAGAATAAGAACATGATCCAAAAGAATAATAATAATTAGAACAGAAACCACTTAGAAGAAAATAAATGTCCCATCACAGAACCACAGGGCCCCATGTGCCAGGCCCACCTACCTTTGCAGTCTTGCCCTCCCTGCAGACCTCCCATTACTTGAAGCATCCACTTCTTTCCTATCTTGGGAATTGTATATGCATTTGTTCTCTTTACCTGGGGAGCTCCTTTACTCATGTTTCTCTTGGTTAGCTCCTTTGAGTCTCAATCACAGTCACTTTTCCTTAGGGAAACCTTCCATGGACTCAACAATGTCTAAATTCATCTCCTCCCACCCCCAACACCTGTTCACATCATCATCTCTCACAGCATGCTATTTGTTTCCTTAAACATTAGGAACCATAATTTGTGTCCCCTTGGTACTTGTCTTTCTTGCCCTCTGGATTCTAAACTCCGTGAAGCTGCAGACCTGTCCCATTCAGCACTGAAGCCCCACTATCATCCTGACACCTAAAACTCAATTCATATTTGTAGTTGAATGAACAGAATATTCTGAGGTCCTGGCTTTTTTCTGAGTCCACACAGATATTTTGTTCTTAGTAATAAATCTATTCTGACAACATTTGCTTTTCAGTAGTTGAATATAACCAAATTGTGCTGGTTTTTCTCAGGCATATGAAGGATCAGAATAAGAAGGTAGCCAACCTCAAACACAATCAACAGCTGGAAAAGAAGAAGAATGCCCAGTTATTGGAAGAAGTTCGCAGGCGAGAAGATAGCATGGCTGACAACTCACAGCATTTGCAGGTAAGCCTGGGTTTATGTTCTTAATCCCTAAATAATTGGAGACTAACTGACTCTGGAATGTAGCCATTGCTACAGGAAAATATGCAGAGAAATGGTAAACTTGCCTTTGCTCTGAGATCAGAGTTATCAGTATACTCCCAGGGACCTGAGAGGTCTTTCCATGTATAAAGCATCGTTTTCAAAATGGTGCCCAAGAAAGCAGCTTATGATGGAGTTTAGAAATGCTATGCAGAGTCTGATGGTTCCTGTACCTCGCCTTAAAAGGTAAGAGCTACTTTTCTATATTTGGCAAGAATCTTAAAGCATAGAAATGGCTTCCTTTTATAAAATTTATGTTTAAGTTGTTTTGGGGTTAGTAGAAGGGAAATGTATGTGCATTATCATGGAGGTGTTTGAGAAAGGATGCATTCCTCTGATCTCAGACAGTTTACAAAACTGGTTTTATTTTGCTCAAAACTCTGAGGCTCTGAGATAGATCATTGGTCTGTTTTCTCCATGAATACAATTATCTCTCAGTGACATCCCTGTCTCAGAAACCAACCGACTGGCTGAAAACAACAATTTTTCCTCATTAACCATTCCTATTTTTGGCAAAGGAGTTCTTCCCATATGCTCAATAAAACATTCAAGCTAACACAGGGCATTTGCTTTGAAGTTCCTTTATTTATTCCAGTGTGCCTTTAAACAGAGCAGTTCGAGTTCGACTTGGCTGCTGTTCATGTTAAATTTTGCTTATTAATTAGTGTCTTTCTTCAGTTATATATTAGCTTTCCTCCTTGGAGATAGAAGAAGTTAGATAATTTCAATATGTACTCATAGTTTATCTTTTTAATTGACCAAAAGAGAAATAAATAAATATTCCAGAGTAGGAAATACAAGGAAGCACGTGGCAGATGGAGGTTATTTAGTCAACATTAATTTATTTTTTCTCTGTGTCCTGGTCATGGTATAATGGTGTCATATGAGCTCCCTTTGCCTGTGTGTTTGAATAGAGTTTTTACACAATAGCACAATACTAGGATCAGAACCTCTATTGAGTGCTTAGGTCATCCTAGCATGGATCATGTTCACTTGAGGTCACAGCTTCTTCAATGCTCTTGACAAATCAAGAGTTGGGTTTGGGGGGGGGGTCTTAGTTTCCCAATCTCTGATAAGAGATATTAAATTGGAGCTTAAAAATTGAGATAATAATAACTAAAATTTGTAGAATATTTTCCTGCTTTTTTCAAGCATGTTTTCATTTATAACAATGTTGGTGATTTTGCATGTGGTGAAACTAGTGTCCCAGAAAAGTTTTGAAATGACATCCTAGTAAAGGGTGAAGGTAGACCTGACTCCAAGGCTTTCCTGCTTTCCAAAAACAATTGCAGAGAAAAAAGTGACAGTGGTAGGTACCATTTTTGAAATATGCTGGACACTGTGCTAGGTACTGTATAGTAGCTGTTATCCCATTTCAGTTTATGTCAGTCAGGACTCCTAAGTGCAAATGACAGGAACAAAACACAGTCTGTATTAAGAAAGAGAAAAAAACACCAATAAATTCACTGCAAAATCCAGGGAAAGATTTTCATCTTGACTGAATTCAGATTTCCAAACAGTGACATCAATAATATGTTTCCTTCCTACTTGGAGGATGATTTAATCTTTGTTGCCTGGGATCCTCAGGAAATCTTTCTACAAATAATGCCCAACACCAGCCAGCCTACCACCTAAGAATTTAATCACTCCAGGACAAAGGAAAGTAGCTCTAGTAGTTCTAACAAGCTTTTGAGATTAGGACATATAAATTGACAGCTCAGGTTCAGGCCATGTGATCATGAGGAGCCTAAGGGGAAGGGGTCAGCTTCATCTAAATCCTATGTGCTAAGAGTGGAGACAGATGACCTCCCACAGAGAAAAATAAGTCCTGGTATCTGAAAAGGTTCTGTGCAGATAAAACTACAGAGGTTCACTGCAGCCATTATATGGTAGATGAACAATTATTATCCCATTTGGTATATTAGAAGAAGGAGACCATGAGAGATAAAATAACTTTCAAAATTATTTATCTAATAAGTGGCAGACCCAGGACTTAAACCTGTATGTGACTATCATTAGATGATGAGTTTTCTGAAGAATTAGGAATGCAGGAAAACTGAGTCTTCATGGATCAGGTGGAATTTGAGCCAAATGAGTTTGAGATGGGAGAGACAAGTGGTAGGGAAGGCCCTCCAGGAAAGAGAACCATCGGAAAAGTATAGAAGTTGATAGAGCATGGTATAATCTGGGCACAAAACATCATGAATCAAGTGATTGGGGTGCAGTTTTCAGTTAGGTAAGCATTGTCCTTATCTTTGTTTAACTAACTCTGGAACTAAAATGCCTGAGTTTCACTCCAAGCTTTAGAATTCACTGAGTGTCCTTAGGAATGTCACTAAACCTCCCAACATCTCAGTTTCCCCATTTATAGAACAGGAATAATAATTACACCTATTGCAGAGTTGTTCTGAGGGCTACAAATTAAATGTATACGAGGAATTTAGAATTATACTTGGCATAGGCTGTGCTCAGAATAAGTATTGATGATCATTCTTATAATCACAGGGAAAGGTGAAAGAAACATTTAAACAGAGTTGTCTAGTACATGCAGGATATTTACATAGTTATACTTGGGTAGGCATTAAGCATCAAAGTCTTTGTCTTTTCTATATATAGTAATTTTTTTCTCTTCTAAGGACACATCTAGTTATGGAAATTAATGTCTTGTTTTGGCCCGTGAACTTTCACATAGCAATATTTTCATAAGGAGCCTTGATAACTACCTTGTAGACTTATTCATAAAAGATAGCATGGTCTGGAATTGCTTAGTTGCATTCCTGACCACCCCAAACAAAGGATAACATTTGAAATGCAATAAAAAGTAATCACGATTAATTTTGATGAAAATGTCTCTGGTTAAGGTTAATAGAGACTGAACCTCCCACTTGAATGGATTGTTAAGCAGATGTGCTCAGATGCAGTAATTATTGCCTTCTGAGAACAGAACTTTCTGGAGGCCCTTGACTTTTAACATTACTATTGTTTTAAGTACTTCCTGTTTATAAGTTTGCCTGTTAATTCCTTTAAGTATCAGTCTATTAGGATTTAGTCTGGTTAGTTGTTTGGCTGGTGGTTACACGTTTGGCACCTGCTAAATTTGATTTATTCATCACTGGTGATTTGTAATGATCAGATACCCTAGCTTTATGATTTCAACCAACCAAATGGTATTATAACTATAAAAAATATCAGGAAAAGTATTGCCTACAAAAATAATAGCTATTGGATTAGGCTTCAAAGGAGAGCTCAAAGAGATTCAACTAGTTGGCATGGAAATTGGGAACAAGTTGAATGATAGAGTGACCATGCTATTTATTGTTTCAAGTAGAACATGATGGCAGTAGGAAGAAACTGGGCCAGCTCTGTCAGCCCTAGATATATATTCATGATATGAAACATTTTGCAAATCCTACTTTATTTCTTTCTTAAGTTTATAGTTTTATGGCAGGAGTTGCAAACTCAAATACCTTAAACGTCTACATTGTTAACATAAGAAAGATGTGAAACATGTGAAAAAAATAATATCTGATTCCTTCAGCCATTTTTTTTTTTACTTTTGGTAGAAACATATCAGTTAGTAATTCCATCACAATGCTATGTAACCATCACTCCAAAACTACTTTACAACCAACTCAGTAGTAGTAACTTATTCCACCAGATTTGCAGGTTGACCAAGCAGCTGAGTTTCTGGAGGGTGGCCTTGTTGGGCACTTCTGCTACTCAGTGCACATCCATGGGAAGTTAGGGAAGCTCTGTTTTACATATGTTCATTCATTCTATAACTCAAGCTGAGGAAGCATCAGTGACCCAGGAAAGTTCTAATGATAGTAGCAGAGTAAAACATGCAGAGTATCAGAAGGCCTAGTCTTGAATTGACACTGTGATTTCTACCCCATTTCATTGGCTGAGCCAAGTTTGGAAAGTTCGCTCTACAGGCAGAGAACACTGTAAAGGGACAGATACAAGGATGGGTAAAAAAAATTGAGACCAATCATTCAATCTATCAAAAAAGACAAAGTTTGGGGAAATGTTTCTCTATTACAGGAAAAGCAACAGAATAATCATAATGAAAAATTTCAGTTGTGGTTGGCCCTAGCAGGTAGGCATAATTGAGGGCAAATGGGGAATTAAGGAACTCAGAGTCCATGCTTCATCCAAGGTAGTAGGAACCACTAAGCTCTGGCTGTACTTTGCTGTAAAAATGGACCTAGGGTTGTGGGACCTTCTGATTGCCCAAGATAAATCATATAATGTGAACATTTATGTGGAATCTGATATTTGAGAAAGTTGGTTCAAAATTTTTTTAAACATTGCATGATTACAGTCAGCCACATATGCATATAAATTGCCTTGTTTTGTGGCCTGTTGCACAGCAGTCTGATCCCTCTGAATTCAGAAGGTATAAATAAGGAAATTAAGAATGCTCTTTAGCTAGTTCAACTTGACTAATTAAAGAATAGTGACAGGTTAGTATTTGTCCTGAGTCCTGTTTTTGTCAAAAAATACCTTGTATTATTGCTTATCAGAGGCAATTACCCACAATCTGTAGGGATAGAGAGTGTTCTTAATTTTTTTTGTTTGTGTGTTTTGTTTTTTGTTTTTTTGATCCCCTGAGCATTGCAAAGAAAATAGGAAGGGAAGGCTAAAGAGCTATGGAGTTGAAATGTTCAGAGTTCAAGTATTGGCCCTTGTTACTATTATCTGAGGGCCCTGAGTAAGGCAGAGAATCTCTCTGACCCTTACTTTCTTCATCTGTACATGGGATTATAATTTCTACCTCCCTGGTTTGAGGACAAAGCTGAGTACAGTCCCTGATCTGTGTGGAGTTCAGTTACTAGAGTTTTTTCCCAGAGAGACTGGTAATGAGCTTTTAACTACAGAAGACAGTGACCACTGGGAGTATCGCCCAGCAAACCCTTTGC